TTTGGTTCTTCTCCCTTTGTGTCTTAATGAGCCTTGCTAATGGTTTGTCAATTTTGTTTATTTTTTCAAAAAACCAGCTTTTAGCTTTGTTGATTTTTGCTATGGTCTCTTTAGTTTCTTTTGCATTTATTTCTGCCCTAATTTTTAAGATTTCTTTCCTTCTACTAACCCTGGGGTTCTTCATTTCTTCCTTCTCTAGTTGCTTTAGGTGTAGAGTTAGGTTATTTATTTGACTTTTTTCTTGTTTCTTGAGGTAAGCCTGTATTGCTATGAATCTTCCCCTTAGCACTGCTTTTACAGTGTCCCATAGGTTTTGGGTTGTTGTGTTTTAATTTTCCTTCATTTTTATGCATATTTTGATTTCTTTTTTGATTTCTTCTATGATTTTTTGGTTATTCAGAAGTGTGTTAGTTAGCCTCCATATGTTGGAATTTTTAATAGTTTTTTTCCTGTAATTGAGATCTAATCTTACTGCACTGTTGTCAGAAAAGATGACTGGTAGTTCCTATTCTTAAAATGAAGGTAGAAAATGAAAACAGTAAAAAAGTAACCTTACCAAATATATTAGTGGAGTGTCCTTTCCTTGCAATAGGTCTGAGTTCATTATGCCCCCATCCATATATCCTGTAATTATCCCAGGCATGTTTCATCATCTGAGAAAAGAAAAATTATAACCCATCAATTTACATTTTTCACAGACCGTTATCCTTATATTTCATGCAATTTAAAGATTCTATTACTATATCCTTACACATTCTCCTGTATCTCCTACATTAGTATATTATTCTGTTAACATCGGTATCAATATGAAAACATACATAATCATGTTTAACTTAAGTCTACACAACAGAACAAAAAATTCGGTGTAATAAAGAATCTCTTTTTATTGGGGAGCAAAGTGTCTATTTGGCATTCTCTCCTTTTAGGAACTGCCAATCCTTTTAGAAACAGCTCCCCTTCCCTCACTGTGGCCATGACAGAGCCATCAAAAACAGGCTCTGATTCCACAATCAATGAACACAGCCTGACTTTAGACCAAAGATCAGCAAACTCTTCCTATAAAGTAAGTATTTTAGACTTTGAAGTCTATATGTTATATATGCTAACCACTAAACTCAGCTATTGCAGCAAAAAGCAGCCCTGGACAATATGTAAACAAATGAGCATGACTGGGTTCCAATTAAACTGTATTTTTAAAAAAACAGGAAGTAGGCAGAATTTGGCCAGCAGGTTGTAGCCTGTCAATCCTTGACCTACACTACATGACTGGGTACATGTGATTCAGTAAAGGCAATCAAGTCCTTTCACATATATTGGTATAGATACCATGAGACAAAGAACTCTCTTGTTTTGCAATCTCAAGACCTATGCAATATATACCCCTGAAGCTGATGGGGGCTAACTCTCCCAACATGGAGAAACGAGGTAACAAAAGAAAATAGACAGAGATATACATATCTGTTAACAATAACATCTGGAGGGTTGGACTGAGCCAAATTTGAAGCCCTGGTTTAGAGCCCCTAAGCTAATAAATATTTTTATATCAATTAGTTTGAACTGAGTTTTTTACAACCCAGTGAGTACTAAGCTATACAACAGCACAGTATTTAATTAAATATCAGTTGAATTATGTAATAGTAGCTTATGGTTTATCAAACATAATATTCATTAAAACATTTCTCAACCTTTTTTTGCAGCCTGCATTACTCAGACACGAAAACTAGGCAAAAATATTACAAGGAAATTAAAAATCAATATATCTTAAAAACACAGATGCAAAATTCTTTAACAATTCCTTAACAAAAATTAACAATATATAAAAAGGATACTACACAATGACCCTGTGCAATTTAAGTCAGGAATATAAGTGGAATTTAACATTCAAAAACCTATCAATATATTTCACCATGTTAACAAATAAAAGGGAAAAGAAACATACAATCATCTTTTTAGATGCAGACAAAGCATCTGTAAAATTCAACACCCAGTCATGATTTAAAAAAAAACAAACTCTCAGAAAACTAGAACTACAGGACAAGATCCTCAACTTACTAAAGGGCATCTCCAAAAAAACCCTACAGCAGTCATCACACGTAATGGCAGAAGACCCTACTCCTAAGGTTGAGAAATACGTGCATGCTCACCACTTCTTTTCAATAATGTACTGAAAGCCCTAGCCAGTGCAAAAAGAAAAGGAACAAAAGGCATAAAAATCAAAAAGGAAAAAGTACCTCTATTCACAAAGCATATGCCTATGTACAAGGAAAACCAAAAGCAATCTTTAAGAGCCAATAAAACTACAAGATGACTTCAGTGACAAAAACTTCAAGTTCAGCAAACTAAAATCAAATACATTTCTACATGCTAGTTATGATCAGAAATGGAAATTCAAAAACAATTACACCTATAAGATATCAAAAAACACGAAATAGAATATGTGCAAGAACTATACACTAAGACCTACAAAACACTGTTGCTAAGAGAAATTAAAGAAAATCAACAAGGGTCACTTGTTGAACAGTCACTAAAGGCTTTTTCATACTCAGTACATTTGTAGGGCTTTTCTCCAATATGAGTTCGCTGGTGTTTGCTGAGGTTTTCATTCTGGCTGAAGGCTCTATCAAAATGCACTGCATTTATAAGGTTTCACTCCCGTGTAAATCCTCTGGTGCTAAATAAGAGATAAGCTGAACGCATTGGTCACAGCAAACACCCTCTTCCAACAACACAAGAGAAGACTCCACACATGGACATCACCAGTTGGTCAATACTAAAATCAGATTGACCATATTCTTTGCAGGCAAAGTTGCAGAAGCTCTATACAGTCAGCAAAAACAAGACAGGAGAGCTGACTGTGGCTCAGATCATGAACTTCTTATTGCAAAATGCAGACATAAATTAGAAAAATAGGGAAAACCATTAGACCATTCAGGTATGACCTAAATCAAATCTCTTATGATTATATGGTGAAAGAGACAAATAGATTCAAGGGATTAGATTTGATAGACAGAGTGCCTGAAGAACTATGGACAAAGGTTTGTAACACTATGCAGGAGGCAGTGATCAAGACTATCCCCAAGAAAAAGAAATGCAAAAAGGCAAAATGGTTGTCTAAGGAGGCCTTACAAATAGCTGAGAAAAGAAGAGAAGTGAAAGGCAAAGGAGAAAAGGAAAGATAAACCTATCTGAATGCAGAGTTCCAAAGAATAGCAAGGGAGAGATAAGAAAGCATTCCTCAGTGATCAACGCAAAGAAATAAGAGGAAAACAACAGAATGGGAGAGACTAGAGATCTCTTCAAGAAAATTAGATACCAAGGGAAATTTTCATGCAAAGATGGGCACAATTAAGAACAGAAATGGTATAGACTTAACAGAAGCAGAAGATATTAAGAAGAGGTGGCAAGAATACACAGAAGAGCTATCCAAAAACTATCTTCATGACCCAGATAATCACGGTGGTGTGATCACTCACCTAATGCCAGATATCCTGGAATGTGAAGTCAAGTGAACCTCAGCAAGCATCACCACGAACAAAATTTGTAGAGGTGATAGAATTCCAGTTGAGCTATTTCAAATCCTAAAAGATGCTGCTGTGAAAGTGCTGCACTCAATATGTCAGCAAATTTGGAAAATTTAGCAGTGGCCACAGGACTGGAAAAGGTCAGATTTCATTCCAATCCCAAAGAAAGGCAATGCCAAAGAATGAACTACCGCACAAATGCACTCATCTCACACGCTAGTAAAGTAATGCTCAAAATTATCTAAGCCAGGCTTCAACAGTATGTGAACTATGAACTTCCAGATGTTCAAGCTGGTTTTAGNTGGACTATAAAGAAAGCTGAGCACTGAAAAATTGATGCTTTTGAACTGTGGTGTTGGAGAAGACTCTTGAGAGTCCCTTGGACTGCAAGGAGATTCAACCAGTCCATCCTAAAAGAAATCAGTCCTGAATATTCATTTGAAGGACTGATGCTGAAGCTGAAACTCCAATACTCTGGCCTCCTGATTTGAAGAACTGACTCATCTGAAAAGACCCTGATGTTGAGAAAGAGTGATGGCAGGAGAAGGAAATGACAGAGGATGAGACAGTTGGATGGCATCACCAACTCAATGGACATGAGTTTAAGTTCCAGGAGTTGGTGATGGACAGGAAATCTGGTGTACTGCAGTTCATGGGGTCGCAAAGAGTTGGACACAACTGAGAGACTGAACTGAGCTAAACTAAGTGGATTGATAATAACATGCTCAGGTAATGAAAGACTCAATGTTGTTTTCTTTTTCTTTAATGTTGTTAAAATAACAGTTTTTCCAAATTCAATTTGTACATGAATTTCAATCAAAATTTCAGCAACCTTTTATTTTCACAGAAAAGTTAATTCTATAAAGGCAAAAGACTTAGAATGACCAAACAAGATTTTTAAAAGAACAAAGTTGGAGGACTTACTTGATTTCAAAACTTACTACAAAAGTTACAGTAATCAACACAGTATCATAGTTTCATTAAGAACAGGCATACAGATTATTGAGTAGAAAGAATAACATCTGATTCTGTCAACCAATTTTGAACAAAACAGTCAAGTTAATTCAATCAAAAATGGATAATCTTTCCAAGAATAATGTTAGAAAACTAAAATGCCCACCCTATGAGGAAAAATGAAATACAATCTCTACTTCACATAATAAAAAAAATTAACTCACAACAGATCACAGACTGAAATATCAAACTAAAACACATTTATAAGTATATATAAAGACTTATATACAAATGTAAACAGCAATTTTACTCCTAACAGCCCAAAACTGGACCAAATGATGAACAAACAAATGGTCAACAGGTGAATGAATAAAACAAATCATGGTACATCTATACAGTGGAATAATACTGTATCATTTGAGATTCATGGAATGAATTTCAAAAACATGCTGAACAAAAAAGCCCAGAAATAAAATATCGCATCCTTATGATTCCATTTGATTGAAACTCTAGAAAAGACAAATCTAATCTATAATGACTAAAAGCAGATCAGTAGGTGCCTGGGGCCAAGGAATCGGGTGAACTGGCTGAAGAGGGACACAAACTATTTTGAGATGACGGATGTATTCACAGCTTGATTGCTACTGTTACACCGGTGTGTAAAACTGTCCAAACTCATCAAGCTGAACTCTTAAACAGACACATTTTACCGTATGTAAAATATGTCTCAATAATGTTGAATTTTTAAAAAATCTAATAGCCTGTCCTATCTTCCCCGCTTTCCTAACTTTCCCTTTTCCTGAGCCAATTACTTAAACTCTTCCACCTGTTTTTCTACTTACCACTGTATAGTTTACAGGGCAATTTGTTGATTTAAAAAAAAGTTTGAGCTATTTACTATAGTCCCATGTAGTTAATTTAGCTTTCTTATAAACTATCAATCCACCCCTATACATACTTCTCCATTTATATTCCCTGTCTCATACTCTTTCAACATAGTTAACAGTTTTTTCTTATATTACTGTCGATATATTAATTTGTTCAACTTTTGTATTCCCTGCTGTTAACTACTGGTCTGAAGTTTGGTGGGGTTTATTGTTGATGTAGTTTTAGTAAAAATTATTAATTTACTTCCAAATTAAACTTGAGTTTCAAAACTTGTCTCAAAATAATCAAAC